CTTGCTTCGTCACTTGCTCAAAACTGATAGTTATATTTTCTTGTCTAGCATATTCACTGTCCTTTAAATCCATCAACCACTTAGCTCTTTTGTTATGCTAAAATCTATTGCTCCAGATCCCAGACCAAAACCTAACAGTCTCTGTAGCACTAGGTATTACCTTCTCCTAGCTCCTATCCCCATTTAATTGCTGGTAGAACTTCTGATCTGTAACAAACAATCTATTTTGCTGATACTGCAGCCTTCTTTGATCATACCTCTTAATATTATGCTTTTAGCTATCAACTTTCGCTTCAACTCCTCAACAATGTTTATCCCCTTTCGCCTCATCCTGTACTCTTGTTCTAACTCCTTGAATTTCCAATCCTTCTTTAACTTTCGTCTTATTGTATGTTTTTTTTTCTTTGATCCAGAATGCTAACATGATTTCTTAGCTTCTTAATATCCACTTACAATCTCCTCTTCCACCATGGCTCTTGACTGTTCCCACTCTTCCCTTTTTCCATCAGATTCCTTAATCCCAGCCTCTTAGCAACTATTTGTCTCACTGACAATGGACGTCTGAATACTCTTTAACACCTGATTCACCTTCCTAGTCTCAGCATCTAACTTTCTTCCATCTACTCTTTCGAAATCAAATCTGACCTCCCTCTCATTATTACCAAAATATTATTATTATTATTAATATTATTATTATTATTATTACTATTATTATCCAGACAAAAAAAACAACCTACGAACACAAAACGCTGCTCACAGAAATTCCAAGTTCCTAGCTACTCAGAAAAACCGTCAAGGGGGTGGGCTCTGCATGTTACCCACATAGCAGCATTGCCTCTTCAGAATGCAACTGAGAGCTGCTGAAACAAATTCCTGGAATTATTACTATCATTAAATTATTATTACTATGAAATATAATTCATGAAATAGTAGCCCAAGACACAAAACACTATACATACAATAGGGAGACAACAAAAAATTACAAAGAACAACAAAACAAAAAGGCAAGAATAAATAATAATGACAACAGTATTAAGGTTTGACAATATCTTTTGCAGCTAAAAAAGTAAAAAAACTGAAGCCTAAAGCAGTGAAAACAATAGCCATTTTTTTATGAAAATCTAGTTGCTACTACTGAAATTACAAAATCAGTACATGGATCTTTATCAGGGTAGTAACCGAAGTGCACATGTACCATTTACATATGTTGGTGGAGAAATTGCATGGAAAAAAAGTCGAGATAAATCTGTCAACTGAAAGTGCAAAAGAAACCCAATTAATGCACTATTAATATTAAAGGGTAACTCAAATGATTTTTTGACCCTAATTTTTATTGCCCCAATACAAATTATTGCATTTTTAACTGCTAATTCTTGAGTTTAATTTTCTAAATGCGAATCAGTGCTGAGATATAATGTTTCACAGTCAAGCTTTTCACTTCCTGCCATTTTGCTTCCTGTAATTGGGTGCAGTCACGGGTGACATCATTTGGGGCATATGCAATTGCAGCAGTGCATGCAGTGTGCAGCAACTTTTAGTGTATTACTTTCTGGAATATGCCTGAGATGTGTAGCAGCTGGATGCCACAACACTATGGAAAATGGTGTCAGTGTTTATACTTTCCCTAAAGATGTGGCATTGAAGAAGTGGATAGATCAGGTCAAAAGAACAAGGTATTGCTGGACAGGTGCTACAGTAAACTCAGTTCTCTGCAGTGAGCATTTTACTGAAGATTCTTTTGAGAGCCATAATTTACATAAATCTTTTGGTCTGAAAAAGTACTAAAGCCTTAAAAAGAGCGCAGTACCAACTATTTTCAAAAGAAAGGCAGAATAAAATGTTGTGTGACAGTGTCCAAGAGACAAAGATCAGCTTATAAGAAACGGGAACAAAAGAGAGTAAGTCAAAAGATTTAGGTTTAGAAATGACTGAAATTTCATTAGATTATTGCGAAATTGATGACAAAAGACAACACAGAGCCAGAAGCCCTCATGGACACAATCACTGTTTCATCAGATACTTGTGATGTAGGAACTAATCCGGAGCAAATTTTAACACAGTAAAATACAACTGCATAGTAGATGTAACTTATAAATACCTGAAATTGGAGATGTACCAGCACTCAAACAGAATTTTTGCATAAAAATGTAAAAACTCAGACTACTCCTAAGTTAACGAAATCGAAAGGTATTACAGCATTTCAATATACAAATTACTGTACTATCACTACATATAGGCTGTCAAGCAACAACTACTTTCTACAAAGATGTTGGTATACAGTGTAGTTTGTTAATGGCAGAACTTTGTAAGAGCTTTGACAGTGATGCATATGAATCCTTTGATGATGACGATGATGTTCAAGATAAATGTATTAACTATGAAGGCATAAATCATGTAAAAGAAAAGGATGCCAATGATTAAAGGTATGTAAAAGACTAACAGTTAACACTTTATTGTTATAATTATCTTTCAGCTTTAAGAACCAGACAAAGTTCATAGTTTTCGAATGTACTCTGCTCACTCTTCCAGTTTTGCATCAAATGCCAACTGCTAACTCCATCAATTACTAAACTGGTCAATGGGACGTTCATAAGAATAAAGCAGTGGTGTCGGAACTGTGAGGCTGAAAGGATTTTGGACAGTCTGCCTTTTATTAATAATATTCCTGCTGGTAATTTGCTGTTGTCTTCAGCCATTCTGCTAACTGGTTCTCTTCCTGAACAATCACTTTGTGTATTGCAAACAGTTGGGTGTGCATCCATTACTTCTATAACTTACTTTAATCATCAAGGCTGGTTTTTATTCCCTGTGATTTCCAAGACATGGAACATGTATCATAAAGCTCGTGTGGCAATGCTGCAATCAGACAATGCTACAACTTTACTTGGAGGTGATGGGAGAGCTGATAGTCCTGGTCATTCAGCCAAGTATGGGACATATACACTGATAAAGCTATCCCATAACATTATTCTTGACTTACAACTGGTTCAGGTACTAGTAACTATGACAATTTTAATACATGTATGTTTCCAATTTTCTATTTATATAGAGTAATGAAGTAGGTGGGATTTACAATATGGAACTGGAAGGGCTGAAGTGAGGAATTAGAACAATATGGCTTGACAATAGGAACATTAGTAACTGATCAGTATGTACTAATTGCTAAATGGGTTAGGGATGACTTACTGTCGACGATGCATCATTTTGACGTGTGGCATTTGGCAAAAGGTTGTACAGAACCAATTGTAGAGATTTATTACTTTTTAAAGGGTTACGTAAAAAATTAGATGTAATTGCTAATTTATAAGATTGTGAAATAGTTGGAGAATGGACACAGAGCATAGTGAATCATTTTTACTGGTGTGCTATGTCAAGCAGTGATTCTAGCTCAAATGAAGAAATGATTCAATCAAAATGGTTAGCGCTATGTAACCATACTCATAAGAAACACACACAGGCATTTTTAAAAAGTGTGCTCATAAATCTTTCAATCAAAATAGGAGAAAGAAGAGGTTCAAACTTGGTATATATTATGTGTTAAAATATTCATACATTTCTGTGGGCACTAAAAGCAGTGAGAAAGTAACTGATCTTATCACTAATGCCAGATTTTGCAATGCTGTCTGTAAAATGTCTCCTTCATAACAAACTTCATGTCTGGAGGCTTTCCACGGTGATGTTAATCAAATTGCACCCAAATAAGTTGCCTTTTCATACGAAGGAATGCTTGCAAGGTTGGTAAAATCTTAGAATTGCACCAACTATTTCTCATGGACTCTAAATAATAAGATTGCAGTTGGCTGCACTTCACTTCAATGAGAATTGAAAGACGAAACAAGCAAAAGACAAACAAGGAACTCTTAGGTACTCATTGTCTTATGCCAAGTACAAGAAAGGTGGCCACAATATCAGGCAGATTAAAGCATCTTCTACACATGGTAATATAATTAAAAAAGTACAACGTTGACTTGAAATATTTATTCCCATAGATTACGTTAGTGAATTGATTGATCGTGTAATAAAAGAAGCTATTGAAGGAAACCAGAATCAGTCAAAAGAAGTACCGTAAATCCGTAAATAGAAGCTGCATTCGAATAAATGCCGGGGTAGCAATACAATTAAGCTATAAATACGCAACACTAGCCTAGGAGTGACTACTAAATAGAAGCCGCATTCAAATATACGCCAGGATAGCAATACAATTAAACTATAAATACGGAACACTAGCCTAGGAGCGACTCAGTAGTCTAGTGGATAATGCCCGAAGTTCCAGAAGTCAAAAGCATGAGGTTACGGGTTCGAATCCCACTCTGGGCTTAAGTTTTTTTAAATTTTTTATACATTTTTTGAGATCTAGAGAGCATGGTAGGAAATAGACGCCCAGGCTTTCATTTAAGGAAACACAGTACATGTACCTCCACCTCTATGTCACTCATATGAGCGCCCTCTGAAATCAAAGGCTATCACTGATCATAAGAATAGATTTTCTTTAATGTGACTGAAATAAATGGTATTAATTCATGAAGGGGGTTCAAGCAATCCAGTTTAAGGTACATTTGTATCATTAGAAAATGCTTTACGTATTGCAGTTACAACACAAGAGGGTAAAACAACTCTGACTTCTCTTCCTAGCCAGCCCTAACATAAATGTGTGAACTGTCAATAGGCTGTGTACCTTAGTTTTCTAATATAATGATTTTGACAGATTTAATTTATGCACTACTTACTGATTTTGCCCATGTTGTAGTCCATACTGTTGGCAATACTGAAAATATGCTGTTTGTAAAACCCAAACATCTAAACAAACTGTATTAAATCCAGGATGCTCTGTGATGCATTGCATTGCTGCTGAGGTCATCCTAATTTTATTTACAACTTGAGCTACTTCTTGGCAGCAAAGGCACTCCTGAGATGTTGGCATGATGATACAACAAGAACATTGGCACCTAAGAAGTAAAAAACCTGAAAAGTGTCAGATATGGTATGCATGCCTAATGTACCAAGCAGTATCTTGCAGCCTTGTTTCATCATGATCATCTTCACTAGAGTCAGAAGACTCATATGTGGATGGCTCAAACTTGTATGGCTGTATTTCATTATCATCTTGTTCATCTGAAAATGATCCATCCTCATCAGATGCTACTTGTAGACATGCCATGCTTTGCCCCAAATGATGTCACATGTGACCACGCCCACAAACAGGAAATAAAATGGCTGGAAGTAAACTTCACTTTGAAGCATTATATCTAAGCACTGATTCGAATTTTGCAAATGAAACTTGAGAATAAGCAGTTAAAAATGCAATACTTTGTATTGGGCAACAAAAAGGGGGGTCAAAAAATTATTTTAGGTTACCCTTTAAATACATGTTAATTGTCATGTCTTCAAAAACCAAGCATTACAAAATTTGTTATCAATTTTTTAAAACTATACAATTTAGTGAGTTTACAATGAAAGTTTACAAGTCTCAGAATACTCAAAAACTAAAACTACATGTATCATAAATGTAGAGTAACTTCTGAAAAGAAAATTACATAAATGTATTAAAACATGGCCACTAATGCTCAGCTCAAACTTTTACATTGGGTACATGTACTTCTACTAACAACAGTAGAGATACTACATGTACATGCATAAATTACTAGCATCAGTATCTAGTATAAATTCTTTGGTAAAATCAGGGAATGCTAAGATAGGTGGGGTAGTGAGTTTGACATAATGTATCAAAAGCTTGTTGGCACTCATCAGACAACTGAAACTCTTTACCTTTCTCAACAAGCTTGTGTAACAGGCAACATATGTAGGAAAATCCTTTGACAAATCTTCTATAGTAGCTCGCTAGACCCAAAAACTGTTGCAATTGAAGCTGAGACATGGGTGTTGGCCAAGGGTGCACCTTTTCGATTTTTGCTGGCAACCCATTCCTGTGAGACAACATGGCCTAAAAATAGAATACGCTTTTGAAATAAGTCACATTTGGTGGGTTTCATTCGTAAGTTAGCTTTTTGTAATCTGTTAAGGACACCTGCAAGGTTAATGAGATGCTCTTCCAAAGAATTACCCAATACAATGACATCATCTAAATAGAAGAGGCCAGTGGACCAATGAACACCATTCAGAACACTATCCATCAGTCGCTGCACTGTGGCAGGGCCATTGCAGAGTCCAAACGGAAGCACATTAAACTGATAGAGGCCATTACAAGTTACAAAAGCAGTCTTCTCTTTGTCGGAGTCTGCCACTTCCACCTGCCAGTAACCACTGAGCATATCCAGTGTACTAAACCACATGGAACCCACTAGTGTATCCAAAGTGTCTCATCAATTCTTGGCAGTGGATAAGCATCTTTCCTAGGTAGATTAATTATCTGCCTATAATCAACACAAAAATGAACAGAACCATCCTTCTTTGCTAATACCACCGTTGATGACCAAGGGCTTTGTGATGGCTCAATAACTTTCTGTTGCAACATCCTCTGTAACATCTCAGTAACCTTGTCCTGATGAGCTTTAGGTAATCTCCGAAGTGGAATACGTACTGGTGGTGACTGTTGCTTGTCAATACTATGTTTAATGACTCCTGTTCGTCCCAGTTCACTATCATCAATGGCAAATAAGTCAGCATATGTACTGAGGAGCAGATACAATTGCTGCGTTAGCGAATCATTCAAGCCTTGTCCTTGTTGGGCTAAGTTCCACAATAATTTTTGCTTGACTTCTGCGACCACTTTAGGCAATGGCGTGGGAACATCCTCCGAAACAAAGAAGTAATGAGGTAACTGACTTAAAGAAGCTATCTTAGTACCCTTACATACAAGCGATAGATGATTATTAGGGTTAATGAGGCGTGTAACCAGGTGCTTCTTTTGAAGTACCATAGATTGAGCTGTAATGGCCTGCGGACGGAATTGAGCCAAATTATCCTCTAGCAACCATGTACCCCTTCCCTTTTTTGTTCAAAATTGTTTGCCAGTACAAAAACTTCCACTTCCGATTGTGGTGGTACCTTAACAGTGCTCTCAAGTACTGCTTGTATTGTGACATCTGATCCTTCAGACTGTAATGGTATGGTTTGCTGCATCACAGGAAAGTGTAGAACTTCAGATTTGCAATCGAAGGTACACGAATGTGTTCTCAGGAAATCCAAACCAATAATGTCATGTTCTGCAAGGTGATCCACAATTGTAACTATAGTATGAAAGGAGTTCTCACCTATAGTTAGTATTAACTGAGCTGATCCTTGAACTTGCAAGGGGTTATCTGTGACATTGACTAACTGGTGTGGCACTTCTTCTAATAACTTGAATGAAGAAGCACAGTACCTTTCCCAAATAGATGCTATCAAGGTAACAGCAGCACAAGTATCAACTAAAAATGAGCATTCAAAACCACAAATGAAGACAGGGACATGAAATGTAAGAGAAGGGTTGACAGATGAAAGAGCAAATGCAAGGGATGTACATTGTTCATCTAGGGCCATTGTAATACTCTCAGTCCTGCAACCCTTGCTTTCCTGGGCTGAGGGTTTCCCGTTTCCTTGTTTCTTAGGAGCCAAACAACCTCTAGCTAAATGACCAGGCTGTTGACAATTAAAACATACAATGGACTGTGGATCCCTCCTTGGAGGTGGTCTTTGTGGTTTGTTTTGTGACGTCAAAGGTCTGTTGCTGGCAGCTAGCTTCGCTTCCAGCTTCTGTAGTCTTCCTGTCAAAATTTTGACTGCATCAATGAGCTTCTCATATGCTGATGTTGAAGCTGTAGCTACCACTGCAGCTGCACTAGTTGAGTCGATACGAGTAGTAGTGAAATGAGCCTCAGTCTGCATGACCATAGTCACAGCTTCATCCAGGATTCTTGGCATCTTTTGTTTCACAGCAAAAGCCACTTGGCTTTCAGTAATTGTAGCTAAAAATTGTGTCAATGCAATATGTTCAGTAGCTGATTTGTCTAGGTCAGGGTAGGCCTTCTCAGCCAAATTCCTTAATACTTCACTGTAGTCAACCCATGACTCCATATGACCACGCTTTCTCGTAGATAACTCGGTCAGATACAAATCAAGCTTGCCAGGTGAGTCAAAATACTCTTTCAGAGCAGCCATGGCATGATCGTAGGTGTCCTTCTTGTCGTCTGGGAGTCTCTGAAATACAGACAGAGCACAGCCCAGCAGTCGCACTGTAAGGAAGGCCAACTTCTTTCCATCATCCCATTCATTAACAGTCGCAAATTTGCAAAGTGAATAATCCACTGGTCCCATGACTCTGAACCAGAGAAAGTATTGGGAAGGATTACGGATTTGTTGGCCATTCTCAATTAATATTGAAGGACGTCTAGACACCCACTGCGCCAATGTATCGTGGCTACTCGTAGGTGTTAAAAGTAATGTTATCCCAAACAAAAAGTTCATAAGAAGAGAGACAGAGAGTTACAACCATAGAAAATCAGAATCTCATGCCAGTCACAACAGGGCATGCGCAAAACAAATACATACATGAAACCATAAAGTATAATGACAACAAGATAACAATACTGTAATGATTACAATCCAATTGTGTTACAGTACCAGTGACTAATACTCACTACACTGGTATCGATCAATTATGTGCTGGTCAACCTGGAGGCTGTGAGGGAGCTGTTAATACCTTGAGGAATATGTTTCAGTCAGGTGAGTTTGAAGCAGTTCTTTTTGCTGATGCTTCTAATGCATTCAATTTACTGAACCGTAAACCAGCTCTTGTTAATATACAGAAAATCAGTCCACCTTTGGCTAAGATACCAATTAATTGTGATCGTCTTAAGGTTCCTCTGTCCATTGATGGTGAGATCTTGCACTCTGCTGAGGGCACTACCCAAGGAGACATTTTAGCAATGATGATGTATGCAATTGCTATTCTCCCACTAAATCATTATCTCAATACTTTCTCGGTATCTCAGGTTTGCTATGCAGATGATGCTGCAGCACGGGGTAAACTACAACACTTACATCATTGGTGGAAGGAACTCATGGCTGCCAGTAATGATTATGGTTTCTTCACTAATCCATCTAAATCCTGGTTATTTATAAAACCTAATCTGCTGGTAACTGCAAAATCACTATTTGCAGATACCAAGATCAACATCACCTCTAATAGTTGCAGATATCTTGATAGCCCTATTGGCTCTGATGAATTCGTCAGTGAATTTATGTGCAACATAGTGAGTTGGTCAACCAACTGGAAAATCTAGCAACCACTGCTAAGACTCAACCTTATGCTGCATATTTTTCAAACTCACGGCTTTCTCAGTAAGTTCACTTACCTGTTTAGAACTACACCAATTGTCTAGAACTACACAAATTGTCTCTACATTTGTTGAACCACTACAGAAAATAATGCCATGTAAGCTAATTCCAACTCTGTCAGGTCAAGCTGGTATAAATAATTATAACCAGATCTATTCTGTCTCTTCCAATTAGACTTGGTGGTCTTGGTATAAGGGATCCATTATCTGAGTCTACTTTACAGTATAATAACTCTACATTTATCCTTGCTCCTCTCATTAATGCTATCTCTGAGCCAACCTCTACTGGTGTCAGTCTCTACCATAGTTTCTGATATCTCCTTATAAATATATCAGGTAAAAAAAGAGTCATAAGGAGAAACTAATTTTCACTATATCTTCCCTACGTGACTATCACTGATTCCTCCCTCCTTCGATGTCTAGAAGTAGCTAGTGAGCCTGGTGCTTCCTCCTGGCTCACTGCACTACCAATCAAAAAACATGGTTTTGTTTTACACAAAGGTGCTTTTTGTGATGCTTTATGTCTTCGCTAAAGCGGGACTCCTCCTTATTTACCAACTCACTGTTTGTGATTCAACTATGTCAATTAAGCATGCACTTAACTGTAAGTGTGGTGGCTTCCCATCTCTACAACACAATGAACTCAGGGACATAATGGCCAACCTTCTTACAGAGATCAGTCGTGACGTTCAAGTGGAACCAACTCACCAAGCATTATCTGGTGAAAATTTTTCCACCAGTCTGCCATCAGTGATGATAATGCCAGGGCTGACATTGCTGTGTCCAGTTTTTGGTCATCAAGGCAACCGCCCTTTCTAGATGTACGTGTCTTTAATCCTTTGTCACACACCTAAAATAAATCATCTATTAAAGCCTGCCATAGGAGAAACGCGAAGGATAAAAGATGCCAATATGGGGAAAGGATATGTAATGTTGAACATACCTCTTTTACACCACTCGTCTTTACCACTGCAGGAGGAATGGGTCCATCAGCGTCTACATTCTATAAACATCTTTCATCTAGACTCTCTATCCATTAGTCCAAATCCTACTCTACCATACTTAACTGGATTTGTTGCTGTATTTTGTTCTCTATTCTCAGGAGCTCTATTATATGTCTTCATGGGCCAGATCATCCTATGACCGTCCTTGCCACTCCTTTCGCTCTCATGAGTAAGCTCTCTTCGATGGCAGAGTTCATTAACTTACTGTTGTAGTTTTATACCATGCACAGGCATTCACATGTACATGCATTATACTTATGCATATTTAAATTGTACATATTGTTCCTACGTGTTTGTTATTATTTCTTTATTTACTATTTTTACATGAACTCAGAAATTAACTCCTAAGCATGTGGGATATCAAGTTATGGAGACAATAAAGAGGTTGAGAAATGATGTTAGTAGTCATTGATAACGAGTTTGAGACATAATGATAAACTAGTCAATTGCATGTACTGATGCTTTATACTCTATCAGAGAGTCAGTGACATAGACATATGCCTGTGACGATAACCATTATAATTACCAAGAAACCATTAACTCAAATACATATACTGTATTTTACTGTACAAATGCCAGGTCCAAATAAATGCCTGTTATTAATATACAAGTATTCTAGCTATAGATACGCATATTTGTACCAAAAATAATGCTCCACTGTTTAAATAGCTCCAAAGTACTTAATAGTTAGAGCCTGGTCTAACTTCATTGGAGTTGGGAGTTTGATCCCGCTCCAAGTATCTTCTATATATTTCTTTCAATAAAATTTTCTTGCTGCTAAAAAATGAATGCCCGGGCGTGTAATTGGTAAAATACAGTATGGTACAAATGTATCACAATTATAATTGCTTTGGCTAATTCTACACAGCAAAATTGTTTGTATCCATTATGACACATCCTAATAAATACAAAAAATGCACATGGGGCATGGTCTTACAACTTCTTCATCCCGAAAGTAAAAGTGGTTCACAGTATCAAGAGAGCGAGACAGAGACATGGTAATTTCAATTATGTTACACTTACTTGTACCTGTACAAATTGGACATTTTTGAGATTTCTTTTATCATTAAAGTCACATGATCACATATTAAAAGTAACACTATGGCCATGCCTATCAGAATGAAAATACATACGTACACATGGCATCTTCCTTTTCCTTTAACAGCTGCTGCACCACATGCAGCTATCTCTTCTTCATCCTCAGTTTGAAATCCTGAATTAATTCATACTGTAACCATATAGTTTAAACAATATGTAAATACCTCTTCCATCGTTTCCCCACAATGGCTTATGACTAACGGCCACTTCATCATCATCATCTGTCTGAACTAATAACATAAAACCTTTAAGTCATAAATTAATGCGTAAACATAATTTTACTACTTATACCTTGGCCATGATCATTTCCTCTAACTTGCTGAAGCTGTCTCATCCAATTTTTTTATGTGATAGATTAATTTTATCCATTACCAATACGTCAATACCTCTCTTATTTATTCCTCTACAAGGCCAATGATTTACTGTCTCTTCTTCACCATCTGTCTGAACTCCTACATAAACAAATCACGAAATTAAATTCCATGTACTATCTCATTACCTCTCTTAATCTTTCCTTTGCTAAATACTACCTCATTGTCTGACTGAACATATAATCTTTTGTCAATAGTTTCTTCATTTTCTAATAGAACTTGAAATAATTACAACATTATCATCATGGACATACCTTCTTTGTCATTTCTACTCAATCTTCCCCAGCATCTTACTCTTCCCCAGCCCTTTCCTTTACCCCGGCCCCTTCCTCTTCTTCTAACAGCTGCTGTACTACCTGTAGCTGTCTCTTGATCCTGAGTTTGAAATCCTAATATAACTCATACGTATATGTAATTTACTAATATTTAATTACCTTTCTTCTGTGTTCCCTTACAAGGCCTATAATGAACCACTTCTTTTTTATCAACATCATGATAATCTGTCGTAGCTACTACAAAAGCAAAACAAATTCACATGTATATATACAAACATTTACTTGTGTCATACCTCTCTTACCTACTGTTTTGTTAAATTTTACGTCATCCTCTGATTGTACATGTAACCTGTCACACATAGTTTCATCATTTTCTAATTAAACTTCGCAACATAATTACAACATTATAATTAATGAAATACCTTCATTGTCATTTCTAATCGTCCTCTCTCTCCCCTGGTCTCTTTCTCTTTCCTGGCCTCTTCCTCTTCCTTTAACAGCTCCTGTACCACCTGCAGCTGTCTCTTCTTCATCCTCAGTTTGAAATACTAAATTACGTTATGCTGTAATCATACAGTTTAACCAATATCAATACCTCTTCCATTGGTTCCCCAAAATGGCTTATGACTAACAACAACTTCATCGTCATCATCTGTCTGTAATAATGACATAATCTTAAATATGTTATTATTTTAATATGTGTACATGTACATCTACATCTACATTTTCATTCGCAATAGTATATGCGTGTACCTAGACTACTGTCATACATACCATGTTTATAATAAAACCCACCATTTTAATTTACATACAGCCATGCATGTACATAAATTAATATCAAGCAATAAGACACACAACATAGATTATTGTTATCTGTCATCACAAATGTCATGGTAACAGACTAACATGGTTCCTTCAAAATTTTGGTTCGGGGCTCATACTGGTCGGGTTATATTCGTGGCTGCTAATATTGGTAGTAATAAAAAGTAATAAAGAAGTTCAATTAAATACCATGGAAACAAATTGATTGTTGCTATGACAATTCACCACGTGTTTATATAATTACCGTGTTCAGAAGCTAATTTGCTAATCTTGAGCAGTTTGAGTACAGTAAAAGAATCTATATTAAATTTAGTCTGATTTAGAATAAGTCAACTTCTGTTTCACCAAATGTATTATTGTCTCTTTTTATATTACAAGTCATTAATCTCTGTACAAAGTCATAATACT